GATGGTACCACTGGTGTATTCTGGTTATTAAAATGTCTCATACATTCTATTCGTATATCATACAGTACTATTACATTCTTATTCTCCGTTTTGCTGATATTTTCAAATTCACATTGACAAACAATTGAAAAGAGGATATGAGAAATTGTTATTTGTCGAATACTTCAAATAATCAAATCATTTTTGCAATACTAAAAATTATTAACAAAATTCTTATTGTACACATTTTACCTCGAGGTTGCGATTTGTAAAATCCGAAATAAATACTTCCATATTCGATGAAGTATTTTCTAGAAAATAAGCCTATCGGTAGGGTGATGCGGTTCATATTAATGTCACAGTAAGCTATTAAAGACAGCAGTGCGCCCCGATTCAGGTGGAAGAACTGGGCACTCCGCTATTACCCCTTCAACATAGATGAGAGCAGCTAAAAAGAAATACGTATAAAATATTTTGATGAGAACTACAATCTCACAGAGTTATATAAAAATCGGTGATTGTCAAAATTCGGAATGTTCCTTTGTGAGTTCACGTCTGCTACGAGGCCGAAGCAATTAGGTTGTAAACAACCGAAACGTCCGCTCCGGCCTACGCTAAGGTGCTCGGACAAGGTTAAGCAGCGTCAACTCGACATGTGTCCGTAAAAATTTTTTTTCCTGCTCTTTGAGAAAAACGTAATTTCTACTTTCTATCTCGAAGCAATGGATATCCTGGCAATAAATTAACGGAACCCACGCTTCAATGAAACTGCACGACGGTTCGTTCGTTCCACTTCTGCAAAGCACGTGTTTTCCCAGAACGCTGGTTTCTTTTTACCTAAATCTTGTTGCCATGGTGAGAGTGAATTCATAATGTAACGATGGGAAACTACTTGCGGTAGAGGAACCCTTACGGAAAAATTCTGTCAGTTGGTTAGCAATCGGACGATAGAGATGTTCAGTTCATGGAAGTATTACGCAATGTTCTGGTGATACGTACAGAATAACGGATATGCTGCTGCTGCTGCGCAAGTGTTTGGCTACATTTGATAAATTGATAACAATCGGCCCTTTTCGGGGCCACGAATTTTCATTAAGCGATTGTGTCGAGTGATCAGTGTTAGTGGTCGTGCAGTGAAGTGAATGCATATTCGGTGGAATAACCCGGATGCACTTGACGTTACAACCCTTAGCTTCGGCTGGGGAGGTATACCTACGATCACCTGCGAACTGGGCGATACTCTGCCATAAACCGTTTCGACAGTCGATGACCAGGATCGGTCCAGTGACCTAGTGACACAGGTTTGCAAACTTCAGGTGAATTACCGAAAGGGTGAGTTCTAATGAATTTATTGCTGATTATTATTTTTTTAATTTAACGCAAGCTATGACTCATTTTGGGCGATAATTCTGCAAGTTTCTGTACCTACATTTTTCTTCGGGCTTTTTGAAGAAACTTATTTGTTATCAGTAATATTGTTGCACGTTATTAAACTGCGAATTTTTATTTATCACTTCTCGTTCATTCTCTGTTATATTACCTTTTCGTTAATACGTTATTTGAAAAGGAAATTTAGAAATTCCTTCACCCCTCTCTACAGTTAAACGATTAAAAATGTTGAAAATCACAGTTTTTCCCGACTTTCGATCTACAATTGTAGTAAATCTAAAAATTCTCACATCTTTTGATGTCTGTCGCTCGTTTCTGTATTAACCGATTTCAATGAAAGTTTCAGTATGTACATTACTAACATAAATCTTCGATATGTATTTATTAAATTTTCATTATAGCCTCAGATTAAAAAGTTGTAAAACACGACCTTTAATATTTTCTTCGCGATTCGGACCAATTGCAACTTTTTCACATTTTTTTTTCACATCATTTAGTAAATTAATGTCTCTAACTTCATAAAACAACTCAAGTCATTTGGACCAATTTTAAAAGAGTTGTTCCGTTTTAAAGGGTGTACGAATACTTTTTACACTCACTGTACCTATTTACTATCAATTACTAATCTAAGTGTAAGGAAGAAAAATTTAAAACTCTAATTTAATGCATCTGCTCTATTTTCATGTTTCCGCGAAGAAAACGTACCTACTCAATACCGATCACGATTGACTCGATCAATGGCAGCTAGAATCGCTACTCTGATAGTTAATATTATGACCAGTGTAATATCCCTCGAAATATCATTTATCGGTAAACAAAATTCGATCTATCGGCGCGAAACGCGTCAAAGTGTAGGTATCCGCCGGTATCGTAAGCGGCTCGTCTACGCGGCCATTAATTTCACCGCCTAATTCCGCGAATTGGTCATTAAGGATCAGCTGTTCCGCACTTAATGTCAAGCTAACCGCGCGGGCGCAGTTCACTTCGTCGCTGATCCAACGATAGTAAGTGCTCCTTCGTGCGACGCGGGACACTGTAATTGGTTTGTTGGAGCTTAACTAACTACCGGATAAAGTCGAACGAACCCGGGGTTCCCGAGGCGTTTAAGCGCGGATTATCCCGGAACGAGGTGAACAATATTTACTGCTAATTGCCGGGGTTTTAGCGATCCGATTTATTCGGGCGATAAGAAAATTTGGCGAAAGCGCAGTTGCCCAGCGGGATTTCTTTTTATCTGCTTTTGACGCGGTCCCTTTTACGGCGGTTCGATTGTATCCGCGTACAACGTGATTTATAATTTTAACTACGCGTCCCGGCCAGAAATCGTGCCGTCGATACAGGCTTTTGTTCCGAATTTCGATTTGATAAAATCAAAATAACACACGTTAGAGGAATGTTTCTTTTTTATCGAACGTTTACCTGATTTAATCGAAATTCACCTGTTAAATGGAAGAATCGTTAAAGATCCGATATGTACTGTATGCTCCATTAACAGTTGCTAATAAAATTAGACCTGTGTGTTAATGTAAATGTTTGATCTCATGAAAATTAGAATTGAATATTTTGAGTAATTATAAATATTATGGATACGCTACGTGAAATAATGTCAGAATAAGGGTAATGTGTATTATAAATTAATGTGGTAACAAATAGTTTAATTTCGTTAGAAAGTTACAGAGGGTAGGCCAGGGTCAATTGTACAACCGCACAGAAGGTCTTCTCTATGCTGAAATAAGTCCAAAATGTAGAATAAAATTTTTACGTGTGATATTTCGTTGCTGAGATAATTAAATTCGAAAATCTCTTCGATACACGCGAAATTTAATAGGACTTACAAGGGAAGACACGAAAGTGTCCCCCTCTGATTTTTAATTATAAAGATACTAAAAATGGAGTAACACAGACATGTGACTACTTTCTGAAACGAACAAATTCGTAAATTTCTAAACTGTACATTGCTGATTTTTTGCTATTCAATCCTCTATACTAATAATTCTTGAACTTTTCTTACAGTTAATAAATTTAAGAAACACATTGTAGTTTAGTGCATAATAATGATAAACTGTACCCCAATATGATTTACCATCACTTTCCACGAATCTGGTTTTCCAAAGACATCTATTTATACCGTTAACCCTGCCCCAATTCTCGGTGTTCCTCTATCTGGAAGCGTTTACATATTTCCCGCGTCGTACGAAAGATTTAATCTCACAAATGAGATCCAAATGCAGGTGCACCCACGGTGGCACATTAAGCAGGAATATCTTGCCAGCATAAGCAGACCTTCTGCCAAGAAAAAATTAGCTCAGGCGGAGCTGGCCGCACACAGGAAACGGAACTACTGCTGATCTAGCAATTAACTCACCTGGAGGTCTGCCAACTATTTATATTACGCTATTATCATACTTTCGTTCCGAGGCTAGGCACAAACAACTATGGCTATCTACGTAGTTTAGATTGTAGCTGAATGAAAATACTTGAACTTAGTCCTTACTGTAACGTTCACCATTCCCAACATATTTTTTTCTTAAGGCAAGATTACGAGAAAAGATTAATCTGGACTCTCCTAGTATTATGACTCGACACTGGAATTACCAAAAATGAACGTGTTTCCATTTCCATCACGTTGGTAAACGACAGAGCTTGTTGAACGTGTGCAAATCGATGAATGAACGAATTTCTTCGAAACTCTTTACTTATACATGGTGTCTCATGGTAGTACAATCGGCAAGACGTGATTCTATAAGCAAAAATAAGTTGAAAGGAAAGAATACATTGTTTTCCTTTGAGATTTCGTTTTCGAGAAAAGTAAGTTTCAACATTCATCTAAAATGCATGTGTTGTGCTGATAATAAGTAGAAACGGACTGCAATGCACAGACGCGGTAGCCAAGTCGTGTCACGAACAACAGTTCGTGTTTTCGATAAATTTTCAAGCTCGATTATTTCAAAACAGAAGCATCACATGAAAAAGTTTTATTCGTTTTTGTCAACTTACGGTTTTTTATAGAATCACTTCCTGCCCGGTTGTACTACCCAACCTGAGACACCTCATATTTTGCATTGACCTTGGGAGTTGCGATAATTTCAGAAAATACATTGTTATGATTTTTAGATTATACCTATGCTAGGCGAAAATGGACCATTTTTATGATTTGTAAACGTCTGTAATTCAGGTAAAATGTCCCGCAGAACATTAAAGATTTGCCAAAATGCTTTTCTGATAGGTATCTACTTTTCCACAAAAAATGAAAAAAATTGATGATGATCATGTTCAAACTCTATCGATTTTCCATGGAATGATCCGATTACAAGTACTTTGGTTACTCAATCTTAACACTTTATCTTCAGAACCGCGTTCTGTAATGGCTGTAATTTCCTGCAGATCACGATATTGTCAGTCTTGTTTGGAAAAGTTGTCCGCGGCTGGAAGGTTGAGAAAAAGACGTAGAATTAATTGTATATTGAAATTTTATTCAGAACAAGTTGGAACACTTTTATTTGACAATTTGTATAACTTAGTTTTAAATCAGAACGCTGTTTCAAACTAGAATGCTTCGATAAATTCTTGTTCTACGACATGCATATCACAAGAGGTGAATTCGAGAATAGTGTGATGAAGATTGGAACTTTTCATTCTGGATGTGGACTAGTATTGCTGCGCCTGGAACAGTTCAATTTGATAATACGTTAGGTGGCAAAAGTAATTGTGGTTTACGATATACTAATTAATAGTTATAATACAATTAAAAGTGATATTGATTTTTGTATACGAATTTTGGTGAACAACAATACCAACGAAGCAGTAAATAATATATGGGAATTGTGTGAGCCATTTCATCTTAAAAATTCGAATATAATTGGTATTTTTATTGAAAAGATATACGTACTGTATAAAGTGACAACATTATTTTGAGGAAAAATACACCTTTGCGTTGCTAAAATTTCAGGAACATTTTATCCTATGTCCACGTTATCCCAAATATTGTACATTCTGAGGTTAAATGAATTCATTATGCCTACTAAATATACATATAGCAACAAAAACTGAAACATGGTGTACAATTTTGCATTAATAGTAGGGAAATATTAATAAAAAATGAATAAGGTATAATTCAACCTAAATAAAAGTGATCTATACTTAATTTTACTGGCTCGCCTGCTTTATTCCATGAAAAGTTGTTTTCTAAATTTCAGAAACTAGGAAAACATTTCCCTGATGAAACTGCATAAAAATAGTAGAATAAAATTGTTTCATATGAAAGTTCGTTTGCGACAAAATCAAAGTATGGCTTGGACTACGGTTGGCCAATGTGTCTGATCATTACTTACAATTTCTACTTGGAATTATGACAAACGTTCGTCATCTTCTGTGTTCCACCCGTTTTACCATCATTTCTAATTACCAGTTCATATTAAATTATGACAAAATACGAATATTATTATAGTATTGCCAATACTTACGAACAATATTAAAAGTAGAAGTAATTAGAAATTGATAGTGACACGAACGACACGAACCTTCAATCATTAAATTATTTTTAACAACGAGTTGCATATATAAAAATTGTTTTCTATATTCTTATTTGTTTCTTTTGCATATATCATCTCCTGCTGTTCGACTGTATAATAAAAACACACGTGGTATATCTTCCATATTTTGCAATAATCTTCGTTATTGTAGTAATTTTGTAAAAATCGTCGCTAAAAGGGACAGCGCATTCAAGAAAAAGCCCGAGTACAAGAAAAATATCAATCAACTAGGGATAATAAGTGATTCTTCATGCAAAACTGACTAACAATATAAAATAAAATATGATTGTATAAGGTCCGACATTCAAGACTATCGACATTGAAAACTTATCCAATGTGGATGTTTTTGCTGATATTACATATGTAGAAACAGTGACTAATATGTTTGCCACATTTTATTCCATAGCAGACGTATTTGATCCACGTTCGATATTCTCAAAAACAGATCCTTGTGAGGAAAATTATCGTTCTAAATTTTCAACGTATATTTCCATTAAAAATGACCAACATCACGATTTTACCATGATTTCGAATGACCCCTCTGCAACGAATCCTCAATTTAACCCTTCCTGCTCGTGTAATTCCATTTGGAATCATTAACTCAATTAGCGTTTATAATTCAGACAATTAGCCTGAAGATTTCATGTGGTATAATTAATTATTTAATTACATGGCGCAATGAACAATTCAGGGCATAAATGGTTAATAGCTCATTTACAGTCACTGATTTCTTCTAAAATTATACACTGACCCATACAAAATCATAACAACTAACCCCAATGAATTTTAATATCTAAAGTATGTTAGTACCTTTGATTATTTTACGAATATTTATCCGTATACGAACCTGACATTACTCAAAGCAGAATCACCTGTCGTTTGAGATTCGAATCCTTGAAACGATTCGTTCGAGGATCGCCTGAATAACTGAGGGTCCATGATAAGCCTGACGTTCACGGTACTCTTCCACCACCTGTACCAGGGCGACACCTGCTCCTGACGAAAAGAAAAATGAGCTTCAGTAGTGAAAAAAGAACAGTAAAATCTGTACAGGCCGCTTCTACCTCTGCGATTTAAATTATCTAGATAGTTTCGGTTGTCATGGCCAAAAGCCACTCGTGCCAGATAAATTAGCCCTGAGTGTCTTCGAAGTGGCCAGACTTTCGAGCCGGCCTGATCGAAAAGGGGCGAAACTGATTCCGGACTGTCACGTATACGCGATAATTCTTAATTAAATGTACGCTGGCTGGGCTTCGATTCGACTATCTGGCGGGAATTGAATTTATGCAGCCAGGAACAATGTTTCCCTTGAAATTCCTGCCCCGTTTCTGTTGAGATATTCGTTTAGCAATGGGCTGTGTGTGCTTCAAGAATCAATTAACCTCAACCTCCATCTAACATTTTATTTTAATTGTATGAGACAGAACCTCAGTTTCAATTCCTGACAATGGCCGTAAGCAAACTACACTTTACTAAATATAATTAAGACATAAGAAGCTACACAACCTTGTAGGCCTAGAAATAGTAGATAAACAAACTTCTTCCTGTGGTAACTATTCAGTAAAATATTGTGATCTTTTTAAGCGTTGTTAGGCAACACTATAATTTAATTTTTATGTATTAGTTACTATAAAAAATTGCACAATTGTGGAGATATACAATATTGTCTACAGCCATGTCTGAGAAGAACTAGTCGGTTGGCACCTAACAAATGTTCGAAACTATACACCTGATTAATTTCTCACAAAATTAAAAAATTTTTTAAATGGTTGAATTCTCATCAATTTTCAAAATTGATATTTCTCAGCGAAAAAATTCTACTTTTTATAAAGCTGCAATTCCCTTTTCATTAAAATTGTTCAAAAATCGAACGTAACATTGTACATACTTTTATAAGAATTAATGTGTCCTAATTTGAAGTTGGATGAATACTTCCGGAGATCTTCTGGGTGCCAGCTGACAAAGTTCTGCCATACATGACGGTAGAAAATGTTGATACATATAACTCCACCATTTTGTAATTCTAAATAATAACTAGCGTATGAAAAGAAAGTTAAAATGTTGCTTAACATCCTTTAAAAAGATCTTAACATTTTATTCAATATGTACTTGAGAAAAAAAATGATCAGTTTACCTACTTTTTTGGCCTAAACCTTAAGTCTATACATATAAAAGAAATATGCTTTTCAATGTTCGGACTAAGTTTCACTCGATTGATTAAATACCGAGTTATAATCACTTTTATGATGTTTTAGTAACCTCTGTGAATCATAGTAAGGCTCCACGAAATGGAAGGACGTCTCGTGATTGCTGTTGAAGCTACCTCCGCTTTGCAGCACCCTGTTCGTTTTTTCTTAGATAGAGCTAATATTTTTTGTCCTCCATATTCTCCTTTGCACAACCGTGCACTTCGCCATGGCAATTTCATAACGGCGTTTTCTTTGAAAACTGGAGACGCCCGATAAAGCTCCAGTAAAAAAGTATGATCAGAACCGTAAAGGAATTCCGCTTTTTGAACCCTTTCGCAATCACTTGTTGGATATTTTTAAGTATAGTTTCTAGCGTCGAAATGTAAATGATCTCGGTACACTTCGTTCTTGCATCGAAATGCAGTAAATGAGCAGCTCGATTACGTAGAAAAAATTTGTATAAACGTTGATTGACGTTACTGTGAAAGTGTATAAAGGGAACTTTTCATGCCTCTATTAAGTACCCTTCAACGCCGATCTTTTGAACTTTGCCCCCATAGTTTCCGAATCGATATTCTTCCTGCGTCTTTCATTATTCTTCCTGGCTTCGTCATAAAGATGTTTTATAAAATTTCATAATTTACCTCTTCCAGTCTGCTTAAACGTATTTTCATCAAAATAAGTCACCCACCGTAATAAGTTACTTCATTATCACGTTTCCAAGATTAATAGTTTTCTTTTCGAAGATCCTTTATACGACTTACAATAAACACATTCTGAATTCTACTCAAGGGACAATGAAGTGAGAGATTTAGATAAATACAGTGACGGACAACTGAATAATGAATAATTCTTAAAAATAGAATTATAATTATTATGATATTTCTGATTTCAACACTAATTAAATATATAATGTAAATATGTCTATATATTCATGCTTTTAAATATATAAAATTAAATAATAAATACTAATATTACTGTTTAATTATCTAATATATTAATACGTGTGAAATTTATTTTAAACATATATATAAATATATTTAAATATAATATAACATTATACGTATATTATACACATAGTATGGGCAGATATTTCAGTGAATAATTTCGCATGGATAAAGATTCTTCGAAAAGCGGTTTATGCATCAGCAATTGCAATAAATAATATGAAACTTTCAGTTGCCAGTTTCTCAGTTTCAGAAAGCAGACAGACAGAAAGAAGTACAATAACGAAATGAATAATTATTCCTTATTCGTCACACCACCGTACTCTTTCTCCCAGAATCAACTTTCTTCCAGCATTTTTACGCACTCTTTTTACCATTCTCGCACTTGACCGTCTCTCGCGGCAGTATTTGTCGTTCATTTATATTCGTTTATCGCTGGAAGCGAGACACGGCACCGTGACCTGGGAAATATGTTAGAAAATAAGCAGCGTGCGCACAAAGGAACCAGCCGATAGGTGAAAAGTTTTATTAACCCCCCACCGCTTGTCTCGTCGTTGTTCCATTTAGAACGCATTCCATTATACTCGACGCTATCTCGACTTGTTTTTTGCGTTATTTCTTTAACCGAAAAGAATGCGTCGCGGCAAGTTTGTTCCGATTGATTGGGTCGACGTGTAGCATCCACGGTGCCGAGTGTCTGCTCACCTGTTTCACATCGGTGTCGTGCATTAACGTATCCGCTTCGAGGCAGGTTATCTGGGTCGACGGTATCGTGTCGCATAAACCACGAATGACAGTCGCGAGGCAGCTATTGGGTTGAACGAAAAGTTTTGTCGTTTTTCTTTTCGTGGTTAGACAGGATGGAGTGTTTCAACTACTCAGAATTAGAACACGTCGCGCCGCGAAGTGGCTGTTAGAGGAGCTCTACTGTCTAAATTATTTTACTTCCGTGAAACCATGTGAACGTAGATTAACAGGATTTTACTAATTTTTAACAAAGACTGACTCCAGGAATTTAGGAACAATACGTAAGGGCAAGGAAGGAGGCTCCTTTTACTTTTTTTTGTCTCGCTTGTATGTGACACACCTCTAACCACCAGGCTAGCCATTGACTATAATCTAATGCATGTTCTTTTGTTAATTAGATTCTACGTACTTCACAATTAAGATGGAGTAATTTTTCCATTATACTGCTTTGTAGTAATTTTGTGTGTCCTATTCTTAGTATCATAAGTATTATTTCTTATTTTCTGTAGCTAATTGATTTTTTGTTTCTAGACTTTCAAAATTTTATGTGACCATAATTTATCGTTTTCACATTAACATTGCTTTCATATTTACTTTTTATAGTTCTGTACAACATTTTTATAGTTCTCTACTACATTCTCCCATTGTAACAACAGTTTAACATGCGAATGACAATACCGCCAGTTTCATATCAAATTCTTATGATCAGGATTGATCCTTGTTATTTTAGAAGAATATTGCGATAAAAGTAAAAGGAATCGTAGACCTTTAGGATAATAGAACGTTTAAATGACGAAATGCTCGTGACATATATTCGATTTTTTCTCAGCACAATGTATTAAATTTGTTAACACATTGTTCGCAGTGTCAGAATATACAACGTGGTCGATAACTGGTGATACAACCGGAAAGGGGGTTGATCCTAGATAAAAAAATAAGTCGTAAATGTAAAATAAGATTTTTTCATTTGTCACTCCATTTTCGAGAAAATCGATTTCGAAAATCTGTTGGCTGCGCGTGCAAATTAATAGGACTTGGCTATTGCGTCTGTTCATTGCATTCTGTTTCTACTTACTACCGTGGCGATTACACGCGTTTCAGATTAATTTTCAGTCAGTTTTCTGGAAAACAATGCCTCATACGACAAAATTTTTTATTCCACATTTTCGATTTATTTTTTGTTTATGTACAATAAAATCATCTCCTTTACGATTGTACCACCAGTTATCAACCACCCTGTATAACACGTAACTTTTGACCACAACTTCAGGATTCACTCGAATTCTAACCACTATGTCATGTGAATAACCCTGTAAAAGCAATTTACGTATATGAATTTTTACATTATTTACCGTTGTGAAACTGTCCTGTATTAAATATCTCCTAATAACGAAAAAATATTATTTTTCTAAAAACGAACTGAACCTAAATGAAAGTTACAGAATATAAAAAAGGAGGAAATGGTATAAAATTACTGATTCCTAATTTTTGAAAGGGCAAACAGAACGAGTTTCATTATTCTCAGAATAGTGGGACGCGAGCCGCGCACGAAATGTCTGCATATTTAACTGAAGTACGTCAGGGCTTGATGAAAACAAAGGTGGCAAGTTTCAAGTTTCCGCATGACCACCTCGTGGATGTACCGGATGGATTTAAAGTTTCTGAAAAAAAGAGCAGAACCGCGATACCATTAAGGGGATTACTCGCGGGAAGAATATGCCTTGAATGCATTAGCGGAAAAAGTCTATTCACAGCTGACACGAAAAACTCCAAACTTTGGATTACGTAGGGTCTTTTAGGGAACTTGTTAGGGACTGCATTACTTTGTATTGCGGCCTGTAAACATAAATAGCAGGTGAACCGACGATAAAAATGTTAAGTGAAATTATACGCCCCGAATATGATATTTTCTTTAGAAAGGAATGTGAATAGTCGGCATACTAAAGCTGGTAATTACCGGAATGCGGACGTTTATGCAAATTCATAGTTGTACAAAGCCAACGGGGTTCTGAAAGATTGGAAATAAAATAAGGTCGATGTCCCTATTTCTAATCACGTCCCGATTTCTGCTCAGTACGTATATTTTTTATTTAATATAAAAAGTTAAACAATAAATTAGTTATACAAAAAGTTACTTAAATTACTTCAGTATTTCGCTACAAAATTCTGCAGCCCGCTGTTCAATAGATGGCAGCATTTTAATTGAAATAAATTCTTCATAATTTTAACATTTGAATAGAATTAAATTTTGTATCTAATAATTTTTTTGTCGATTGTTGCATAAATAAATAATAAAAATCAATTCCTGCGATAGCAGAACTCTTACATGATTAGAAATAGGGACACTGACCTTAGAAATTTTAATGTCTTTCTGACATACTTTATACTTTATATTTAGAGTAAGACAAAATGGACATATTTGATTAGCGTTAAAGAACGCAGATCCTGGAAACTGCAACTTCATATGTTACAACCTGTTATTGCGCTATACAACAACGGACTTATAATCAGATTTATGCATCACTTGCAAAGCTAATCTCTGCGTGCCAGCAGCAGCAGTCAGCCAGTTAATTGCAAGAACAGGATTCGTCTCTTGGGGACGGATCCAACAAACGGGAGTTAAATATGTTTCGTTAGAATACGATCCCTGTTCAGTACTTACGCAACTTTGCGTGGTCAGCTGCGAGGAGAACATACCGTGAAAATGACAGTACAATGGGGATGTAATTTAAGGAAATATACAGGCCACCTTGCAAATTATATAACGCAAGACAACGTGATAAATTACTTATAAATAGATTGTGGATGTGTAGTATTAGTATTTATTATTACTTTACTTTTATATAGTGTTATATTTACATTCTATATTATGTTAAAAGATTCATTTAAGAAATTCATTTCAAACTCTTTTAGTGATTAGTTTAATTTTTCTGTGCTTGAAATTCTGATAATTAAGTTTTGAAGTTAAAACAATTTTGGTAGCAGATTTATTTCAAGTTAAAATATAAGGTAATTCATGTTAGTGCATATTTTCTCAAAGGAATTTTTTAACTTCTGTAGAAAGCTATAAAAATATATGTATATATGTGATTTCGTAAAATTAGAAAGTGATATGTATAGTACGAACCAAGATATAGGGAGATCGTAACCTGAAGAACCCAACGGTAACACCCATTGATGTCGCTGGACCTAGGGCCGTGTCCTACTTTCTGTCGAAGTGCATGCCACGGTATTTCATTTACAAGTAAAAAAAACTACGAATATTCAGTACTATTTAGAAAAGGTAGAGCTTTTTCTTCAATGAGCCATTCATGTATCATGAAATCCATTTGAACGGCAAGGCTATACAGTAGACTCTAACTTTAATGCCACTGAAAATAATGCCACATGGGTCACTTCCCCTTCACACGTACTTTCGCGCACACAGATTCGCGTCTCCCACCATGTTGCGTACGCCGGCACACCAGCACGATCCAGTTTTTGCGCAGGCGCTGAGGCCGACGCCATGACGACAGAACTTAGCATGGAGGGGGCTCTAAATACATTGCCATTTTACTCTCCTACAGCCCCGAAAATGGCATTAAAGTTAGAGTCTACTGTATTTGCTGGGTTGTCTCCTCTTCTCATTCATACGAGTCTTGGAGGGAAATTCCCTAATTTGTCATACCAATAGTAATTAGTGAAAATGTCAAAAGCAGTTTGAATCTCGAACTATAAACATCAAGTGCAAGTTTGCATTTCCGTGATAATTTATTCGTACTACATCTGTTTGGTGCAGTTGTGAACATTTTTCAAGACGTTTCGTCTTTGGGAGATAGCATGCTCTTCTGTAAATCATCAAGAGTCTGAACGAGGGATGAATGAAGATCCCAACCAAGAATTAAATGAATAGTCTGAAGAAGAAGAAAATAGTTTAGAAGACAGTGAAGAAATTATTAGCAGCAAAAGAAAAGATTTGTCAGAAGGCTAGTATCTAAGGAAGAAGACGTAAGCCATCTGTTTGAAAACGTGTACAAATTTAATAACATTAAACAAAATCATTGGAAGAAAGCGGTGGACCAAATAATAAAAATCGAGAATGAATAGTAATATTAAATCATTTTAAGAAATTGAAGAATGAAAAGAAAAATTGTAATTTACGTGTGAATTTGAGTTTCAATATATTATACATAGAACGTGGATTGACATTTTACTAAGCTTCCCTTCTCACGACCCTGCCCGAGTTTTCAGGTCATTTTCTACCCATTTTCGGAGCTCGCTATATCTTGGCTCAGACATTAACTAATCAAGTAAGTGGAAAATGATACTATGAATACATATATTATAAGTTGTTTTGTACACTGTTCGTCTCACAATCAGTTATTGTAATATTTTATCATTCATTATTATCCAGAAATTTCATTTTTGTCTATCGACACAGTCCATTGCTACCGTTCGTATTATGTTCATGCATATAATGAAATTCAGGTATGAATAAATGTGTGCTGTCGGGAATTTCGTTTCTGTATGTATTATTCGATTCAAATTAAGTATATTTTTACAATTGTATTCATAAAAAGAGTATCATTTACCACCGTACAGATATTGTTTGATTTTGGGTTATATTATAAAATTAATTACTTTTCCCATTAAATATACCGTGGTAATGTAGCCTATTACAACAATGGTGAGGAAGAACCGTACCGCCGTTCTGGTCCAGAGCTTCGAAATTCCGATTTTCTTTCCTTCGATAACGAAATATTGCATACCTGCGTGATAACACAAATGATATTTGACAATTGATGAAATGTTACACAGGCATAAAAGTAATAATTAATTGTTTGGAAATATTCCAAATTTTACTGGAATGGTACAATTTTTGTTACATGTAAACTCACCTAAAAGACAAACAGTTACCATACCAACAGTAACGATGGAAAGTAATGTGAAGGTAAGCAAATCTGACTGCATGTTCCTACGATTCCTCGGATGACTAATCCATATTCTCAACGATTCTAGCCTGAATGTTCCCATAAAACTGATCACTATACAAGTCGAAAACAAGTTGAGTATTATAAATTATATAGCAAGAAGGTCAGTGGTTCACTGAATAATAAACCATATTTAAAAAAGAAAAATAGAATTCAAATTAAAAGATTCATTCAGTAATTATCAACTAACAAACTTCGTGACATATAATCTTGTTAACCGTTGTTAAAGAGTTAAAATTGGAAGAGAAACAATTTTTTATTAATGAGATTGTGACATATTATATTCTGTAAATCAACTTACAATCGATAACGCGGTGTTTCGACAACGTTAAAGTGATAACGGCATAATTCGCAATGAGAACGACTAGTTTGATTCAGCCATCTCTCCAAACAGCCGAGATGCACGTAAGCCAGGGTTCCTTTGCACCTATAGACAGAGTATCCGAGTCGTTATGGAAAAATTCTGGTGGTTCTTTAAATAATTTGCTGAATCCTCAAACGGCCGATCATCGAACATATGGACAATGCTCCACAGTTCTGAGAAAATGTAATGTAAAATATATTTTTTACTATACAAATTTGTAAATTAATTTGACACCTGTAACTTGCATATATTATAATCCACCACTAGGAAAATATACTTTTTTAACTCGATTTCAATTCAAGAGCAATTTCATTCAAGGAATAGTAATGCAATAGTCTATTAAATAGTGCACGAGGGTTAAACGATAAGTAAAAATTATTATATTATTGTTGTATAAATTTTTCAATTAATACGTAAGAACAGAGTCTACAACTGTCAGAAAACAAGGTTTTTCTAAAGGTGGGAGAAAAGTAGTTCAGAAAAAGTTAAAAAATTACTGCGATTACAGTAGACTCTAACTTTAATGCCACTTTCGGGGCTGTAGGAGAGTAAAATAGCAATGAATTTAGAGCCCCCTCCATGCTAAGTTCTGTCGCCATAGCGTCGGCCACAGCGTCTGCGCAAATACTGGATCGTGCTGGTGCGCCGGCGTACGCAACATGGTGGGAGAAGCGAATCTGTGTGCGCGAAAGTACGTGTGAAGGGGAAGTGACTCATGTGGCATTATTTTCAGTGGCATTAAAGTTAGAGTCTACTGTAGTTAAAACATTGGTATTTACATAATGTCGATGAATTACGTGTTCCATTGAATGAGACTATTGTTAAGATTTTCAATGAATACTTTATACTTATGATATACTTATTCCACGAGAAGGCAATAAAGATTACTATTAATTGTTAATTTAGACATAATGACATTTCTGTTCTGTTATTGCGAATCCATAAAGTGTCTAGATACTCATGAGTGGTAGTGTGCTCCTCGAACATCACATTGAAAAAGTGTTCTTACATATATCACCCGTGAAATCGGTTAGATCTTATTTTCGTTACGACATTCAGAGTCCTCATATTTCATAGTAACATTTGGATAAGAAAGGAACTTCAGTAAGTTCGCAAATACTTAAAAGGAGTGTTCGACAGATCTGCATTTTTCTTCTTACATCTTAAACACGTGTTCTTTCCTGGTTTTATACAGTTTTTATAGAAACTTGTAGTCCCTGATGTTCACGCCCTTTTTCAAATTATTCAGCCGTTGTCACGTCTCGTCCATTACGGTTTTCTTTTAATGTACGTCCATTTAGCACATTTCTCGAAGTCTGGAAATTATAATGGTACGTGGAGGCCATTTCGCAGTCTCTGAAACATGTCGTACTCAACATTCCACGAAACGTGCTTGTGTAGCGGATTAAGAACAACCTTCAGCGAAACTACGATGATAGAGAGCAGCACAGCGTGTTCAACATGGAGGATTGATGTGTGTGTGATTGAGTGTGTAAGGATAATACAGGGATATCGTAACATTTGTGTCAGGCTTATACTACTAACAGGAAATGAAAACTGTGACAGAAAGTTTATACAAATATGTTTCCTAGTTAGCTTTGTTTTTGAGCCATATCTATTTTGGTGCATCAGTAACGTACAGCTATGTAGTTTCCTCAGTAGAATGTCCAAAAAATGGCCGCTGGAAAATGGTGAAGCTGCGGTCGTGGTCTCACGGAGTTTGAGAATCTTTAAAAAATAATCTCAGAATAGGTTTGTATTAGTGCAGAGAATAGAGTAGGTACATGTTTATCTGTACGAGCCTAAACTTCCTCACATCGATTGTCATTGATTTACTTTTGGTTGCTGGATTAGTTTTTGTTTCCATGGCTTAAAATAAACACAAAAGAAAACCGCTATGATTACATTTTAGGCATTCTAAATGTCGCCACGAAAATTCTCAAACACATTCGATACGTACAAATCGCTTTATCGCCGCAAAAGGAATTTATTCTAAGGGGTTACGTAGACCTAGGACTAAAAAAACTAGAACTCACCCCAGGAATCGCCCCTTTCAAGGAGTTGCAACATTTTTCATACACCCTGTATATACTTGATTGTATACACAAAATTGAATGTGTTATAGCGATTATAGCCAGATTTTCAAGAACAGCTTCTGCGGTAACCAAAATATCTTGGATGATATTTATCTCAAACAAAAAAGGAAAATCTCTTAAATAGATATATTATAGATATATAATTTTATAAATTTTCGAATAAAATTTTCAAGAAATATAATTCAAAGGCAGTACTATCGAAATAAAATATTTTCTTCAAATCGATTGCTTAAAACATTTTTCCCTTATATAAAGGTACTTTATGGACCCATAGTATATTTTTTTAGTTTTAGGGTGTATTATTTTTTTTATATTGTAGCTTCATTTACAGTGTCCCTTAAATTTTTAAATAAAATTCATGATGGAACCTCACCAAATCGTCACCACATAATTTCAATAATTATTATTACTATTTTATAAGTGTTAATAATTTACACTTCTAGTTCAATTATGATAATTGTTAATTAATCTTTATTTAAAAATTTCAGTGCATTTGTTTGAATGATTATGTAATTTACTGTACATAAAAATAATTTAAGGGCACAATAACCAGGAGCGGGGGGGGGCTCAGTAATTGACACACTTATCCTATCAGCGATTATAAGAGTTTGCTGTCAATTCATATGCATACAATCCACAATTTCTTTTCTTTTCTCAATAGAAAATATGAAAATAATGTTTCCATCACCTTCCCCCGCTTTCTAAACCATTCGATCGTGTTTCTCATAGTGATTCCATAATGTATACTGTCTCGCTGTTCGATATTTATTTGCCTCGGAAGTCGGGAACGTTTGTGAAGCGACATTTTTCGAGTCTCAGAATGCGATGTCGAATATCAACTGTTCAGCAAAGATCAAAGCGCGCTCTACGATACTGTCACGTGGTTCGTTAGAATTTTTATTGGACTGCTTTCAAAGCGGAACGCTATTTTCGGCGGATCTCCTCCATCAATAGCCTCTCAACGAAATAGCTGACATTCGAGTTTTTTTATGTTGCGTACACTGCTGTCCATATGTCACAGACCACTTACACTACTAAACGTAAAACAAGAAGTAGTCAGAATTAGAAAGTTACTTAAATTATGAAACAGACGAATTTCTGTTAACTTTGCATATGGTAGAGAAAAAGTAAATTATATTCACTGTTGTGAATAATTCTAAAATATTGTTTAATTCGTGCGCTTGTTTCATTCAGGAATATTGTTTCACATATATCGTGTCACTTTAATAGTGAATTTTTTAAAAATAATTCTCCCCAGATTCCACTCAAATTAGTCTGCAATCACATCCACTTTTAGTTCTTCGTTAAATTTCACATGTGTTCTTATAATTAATCTTTTTTGAAATCACTGCTGGAATTATTTGATTGCATTCAATTGGTTCGACCATGGAGAGTTTTAAAGAATTTGCAACTAATCATTATTTTATAATTTTTGGTTAGTGATTTTGAAAGATGTTTGAAGCATGTTGACGCTCACTGTCTTATCAAAGATAAAATAAATTAGTGAAATTGCTTTAAGAAATTTCATTTCTTGTTGAATTTCCACTGTTTTCAAAACAATCTTTTATCCGATGCCTTATGGAAGGGAGTGTATATAGCAATATTTTATAGTAATTTTCTCGATTAATTTTTCGACGAATAATTTTTATTCCAATTTTGATATTTTAACACAAAGTAATTACGTTCACTTCAAATGCATCATGATTACTGATAGTCTGTCTACAATGTCTATTAATAATTCAATTCTTAATATCTCTTAGTAGTTCAAGTATTTTCGTCGACACCCTGTATATAGGCTCTAATTTCGATTTTCTTGAAAATAGCAACTTCAGCCTTAACAGACGTTCGATCTGATTCTAATCTAGATATATTTCGGATCAAACGTTTACTCTAGGGGAAATCCATCGGAATCAAGCTAATCGCACTGACGAATTGCGTAAGCAAATGTAATCGAAGTGCACTCATGATGCCGTTAAGCTTATCAATAACGCGCTTAACTATTCCAGCTACTTTTGTTTGTGTTCGGAGGCACATAACATTACTATTTACAAAGAAAATATATTTCCGTACCCTTGTAAAACTCAGAACGTACACTAAATACCTTATTTTAAATACATTTTCATCAGGAAAATCTCCTACATTCATTTGTACAATTTTTAAAAAAGTACACTGAAAGGAGTAAAAGTTTAAATGCTTATTTATACGTTATATTGCGATACAAATTGTATTGTTATTAAATATAGTCCGATTTATGTCGGGTTTAGACTTATTTTCATCAGGATTCCCCCGCTAGGGGAAACAGTGAGGTAGGCGAAGGGCCTCCTACAATGTAGTTTTGGCAATTACTGAAATTTATTCACTACCTGAAATAAATTTTGCTAAATGGTAAAAAGCTCTTTTCTTACGCCACTTTTTCCCCTAACGGAAGCCGAGTTTGCTCGTGGGTGTACACTGAAAGTAGTAAAAGTTTAAATGCTTACTCATACGTTATATTCCGATACAAATTGTATTATTAAATATAGTCCGATTTTTTGTCGGGTGTAGACTTATTTTCATCACGAGAATCTCCTACATTTAATCATAACATTTTTAAGAAAGTACACCGACGAG